TTACTCTTTGAAAATTGACTAATGCTATCCCTATTATTTCTAACAACAATTGACTAATACTTTCCTTACCAGCATCCGTTAATAGAAATATAAAAAATATTATTTTATCCTTTATTCTTTTCATATTTTCAAAATAAAACCTTTACTCTCCATTACTTCTAAACACGTTCAGCAACCCAAATTCAATCCCTTAAAGGTCTATAATTCTCTTTGTTGATTTTTTTGTTTCTTCTCTTATTTATGCTGAATTATCAATCGAGAAGCTCATTTAGCGGCACTTAGTAAAAAGCTCATTTAACGGCAGCCATTAAATGAAACAAAGATCAAATAAAAATAAGCTCATTACTTCAGATATGAGAAGATGGGGTGATAATAGGATTGCCTTCGTAACCAAGGTATAGGGGATAAGAGCAGCTTGGAAATAGTCGTCGACGAGATGAAGGGGAAAGGGGAATATTGGAAATGGCCAGTGACCATTTCGACTAATAGATGGCCACATCAAAAGAGGGAGGGAGCGCCATCCATCGACGCGGCCATCACCATCACCATCGCCAACGACGACGTCGCTGCAACTACCGAAGGCGAAGCGTGCGCAGGCGGGCGGAGATCTTTGCCGCCCTCCCCCTCCTTCTCAATCTGATCCTTTCAGATTGCTTGTCCGAGCGCCATTTGGTTTGATGGACGAGAATGCAGAGGGCCTATCATTCATGAGCGAACGTTATTAGATGCCGGAGCCAGATGTTAACGGGCATAGATCAGGAGCGAATGTTGTTAGGCATCAACGGAAAAGACAAGAACCTGTCGTTCATGCGCAGCCCAAAATTCCTACCCAGTAGACCCACCCATTACCCGAAAGGCACCAGCCTCAGCCGCCGGTCGCCACGCCTGTAAAGCCTTCTCCTCATTCCCTTGTTCATAAGCAAGATAAGATCTTGGAAAAGCCTTTCGAAGATATTAGAGCTCATTACATGCTCGGAAAGGAACTGGGTAGAGGTCAATTTGGGTTGATGGACGAGAATGCAGAGGGTCTTAAATGTTTGTGGGGTGGGTTTCAAAGGAATCTCGGTCTCCCGGTAAAACCCAGACCCTTTGAACCTTTGTCTGAAATCTCACCATTTTTTATTCTCGAGATGTCTGACGGTCTCCGGTTCTCTCCTTGTGTCCAATCTCTACGGAATGGGAAAGACCTGAGAGGAACAGAAAAGGCAGTTGCACCTGTGACGGAGATCTCTGCCGTAAAGGAAGGCAGCTGCAACTACCGAACGGCGGAGCATGCGTAGGCCAATGGAGATCTTTGCTGCCCTCCCCTCCTTCTCTCTACTTTAGAAATCTGATCCTTTCAGATTGCCTATCCAAGCGTCGGTTTGGTCCGAACGAGAAGTATTATGTCAAACGTGTAAAAGATCTTGGACGGAGAGTTAATGGCTAGGGTAGAACTAGACAATATTGTCAGAAACAGTAAAGTAGTGACAGTCAACTTTTAAACAGTAAGGGCACAATTAACTAAATCATAAGCATACTTTAAGTAATTTATCCTTGTATATATAACATAAAATTTTATATATAATATGAATTATAAGTGTCATATTATAATATTTATATATCAAATATACAATGTAACATATATGTATATTTATATATTATTTGTAAGTTATGAAAAAATCTATAATGCTAGAAAGACATGATATAGAAAGGGCTTTGATCATTCAAAACCCCAATGAATTATATCAATAGCCACATGATTAGTTGCCATTTTTATGGAGCCAGTTGATTGGTTATAAGTCTTTTTTTTTTCAGTATCATATCTTTCTAGAAAGACATGAATCCCTAAAATTTGGGGATAGTCTCACTTTTATGACCTAAAATGACACTTCAGTAAATCTACAAAAACAATTATCTTCTATTTCACTTTTTTCACTATTAGTGAATGACCCGGGGGAATTAATTAATTATATATATATGAATAAACATTAATGATTTTTATTACCAACTTTTATTACTATTTATAAATTGTCATTTTTAAGATATTCATACAGTCTATGGGTCCACATGAATTGACCCTTATATGTCAAACCCATAAAATTATACGGGTTATTAAATTCAACTCGAACCGTTTATTACATTAATTTAAGCATTCTTATTCTTATTCTTATTAATTTATTTTAGTATTTAAGTTAAAATTTTTGTTATATAGTAATAATAATAACTAAAATTATAATTACTTAAATATTTACTTAAAATTATTTTTTCCATGACTTCCATTTCCATTCTCATTATTCCTGTGTGAACCAAAGAGATTATAGGAATGGATCATTCCGATTCCTATTTTAAAGAATTTGAACAATGGTTTTTGATTGTTTTTTATTTTTATTTTTTACTTTTTAAGTCAAAACGGACCATCCATTCTAACAAGATGGTCGGACCATTCAACCGCAGAACCGATCTTTAAAACAGTTCCGTGTCTGATCCGGTTTTTAAGCATTAACATATCTGAGCACTTCCGATTCAAATGTCAAAAATTAATTACAACAAAAACCTAGACCCGCACAATTCAAACAACCTGCTCTCTTACTTGCAAAAAGCCTAAAGAATTAAGGCCCCGTTTGGTTCATGGGAACAGGGGTCTGGAAACGGAATCGGAATGGGTTATTCTGAATTTCCGATTATTCTCATTCTTATTAGAATAGCACTCCTCCATTTAAGGAAATAGCCATTCCCTATCCCTTTATTGGAAATGAAATTCCATTCCTACTGACTTCCATTTCTATTCTCCTGTGTGAACCAAACAGATTATAGGAATTGATCATTCCGATTCCAATCCCAAAGAATTTCGATTCCGATTCTGACACGTAACCAAACACACCCTAATATGTTAATAGCTAATTAAGCGTCCAAATTCAAGAAAGCATTTGTCACATATAAAGGGCAAAACAAAGGTTTTATTAATTGCATACAGAGATAAGGAGTTGTTCGCCTATAAAACAATGTTTTTCAAAATCGGACTGGACTGGATGGTCGGATCGAAAATAGGGATGACTGGTTCCATTTAACCCCAAAACCATTTTTTGACCAAAAACCATTGATTTGGTCACGAATTGTTGACCCGAACGATCGAACCGTCAAACCATTTGACCCGAGAATGATTCTTGGCCCCTTTTTTGGGGTTTTTAATTTTTTATTTTTTGTCAGAACGGGCTGTCCGGTCAAACCGTTACACCAGAGAACCAGACCTAGAACGGTTCCCTGTCCAGTCCGGTTTTAAAAACCTTGCTATAAAATATAAATGATCAATGAAACTACCGAACTGTACGTATTTGTATTTGTAATTGTACCCCTTCCAATTGAGCCTAAGGATTTACACAAATTTCTAACTTCATTTTTGATGAGGGCAGATTTGGCCCTCCAGTGAAATTGCGACACGTGGCACCTTGTGACAACTAGGTGACACCCAGGCAACAACTTACCAAGTCGGTGCCCGTCGGGGCACCGACCTGGCCGGCCTGGCGCGCGGCCTGCACGC